CCTTCTATTAAATTTTCAAGCTTTCGCAACCAACAAATAAAATGTTATTGATATTTTTAGAAAAAAAACTAAAAAAAATGGAAAATGAAAATGTCCCTAAACAGTTCAAAATAAATCAAAATGTTATCGTGTATATAAAATGCAAATATAAACAGCCAGTGAAAATTTCATATATATACGTACATTTCTTTTAGAGTTACACCAAAAGCCAAAATCGATTTTTTGGAAAACCGATTTTGCGTAAAAATTCCCGTTTTTCCTTAATTTTTATGTTGTTTTTCCCGGCGCTTGTGAAAACTACTAAAAGTTTAATAAATTTTTACTTTTGACCCCCCAAAGTACCAATTTTTGTTCCCAATTTTACCCCGAAGATTCAATTTCCTATCAGAAAAGCTACTGTTGAAGAAAATCCAAGCACTTTTACTGTTCTTAAACGTGATGACAGACACAAAAATAAAAAAAATTGATTCTATGAATTGATTGTATGAAATATTCTTGAAAACAACTAGGGTGTAAAAACTATGCATCAGCTATTAATTCTTCAACGACCGGCCCAAATTTCACAATTTAGACCGGCCCAGGGGGATATTTCCCCCTAGCCCCCCTGGCCAGTCCGCCCCTGAATATAAGCTGCACAATAAATTGGTACATTGACCTAAAAATATATAAGCAGCGCAATTGTAAATTGGTATACTGACTTAAAATATAAGCAGCGCAATTGGTATACTGACCCAGGACCCTTTAATACAAATTTCGTTTTAGACACAACTGGGCCATGCCCCTATCGCCAGGCTAAGTATCTCGGGACAGTCCACTGACCGTTCAATGAGTTTCCGTAGGAATAGTTAGGTACAATATAAATACAATATAAACGAAACGTCGAGCACAATTGCGCTAGCACAATAATACTTTATACAATATACGCCTACGGGCTACGGCCTATACCTATGTCAAACTAATAACCGTCGTACGCCATTATATTATTCGTATATATTTGTTTATTATTATAATATTGTTATTCCATTCCATATGATGGTTAGTTAGGTGCCTACCTTTTGTCAATAGTTATTGTTGTTCACATTAACACGGTATACATTATTTAAACGACAGATTTGGTTATTTCAAATACATTTATAAAGCACCTGGAAAACGAATATGGGTACTTGTCGATTGAGAAAAGGAGTGAAAAGAGGGAACCTATAGATTTTGTTAGATAAAATGTCGTAGACAGTTTTTTTTTATTATCATCGAGTTTACTCACGTCACTGCTCTCGTCTTACAACAATAATAAACATAGTACAATAGAATCCATATACAGGCGAGCCTATAAACATTAATCATATATTCATATATAACATCTCATATTATAAATGAACTTATACCCTACTATATATACTATCTTATATGCTTAACGTCGATATTATTACACATTTACACGCATGTAGAAACATATTTAAATTAAATACAAGTTTGAATTAATAATAATATGTCACGACGAGCATATTATTATTATAGAATATATTATAATTTACAGGGTTCTCTTATACAAAATTGATTAGCATTCCATAAGTAAAATTGTTCCATTTAGGGACGCCATTGCGGAAGATTACGAGTGGCATACAATTATTAATTTACGACAATAATATTAGTATGTTCGATTTATTCTATATACACAAGCCGATATTTTTTGGTCGTCATATCCACCATCACGAATATCGTAGAAATCGCTAGCATTTCCGATACTCTATTCACTATTGTTTGTTTTTTGAAATAAAACTTCTTTACTGAGGTGTGGGTGGAAAAAAAATCATGATGAAAAATGAAACTACATGTTTGTTTAATTTTTTATATATGTCCATAGCAACCAAACCATTAATAAACAAAACTGTCTATCGTAAATTACATATTTTTTTATTGTATTAATTTTTCTCACTCTCTCCCTAATTCACTTATATAATTTCACGGGCCCAATTACTTATGAAAGAAGTTTTACTTCCCCAGAGTGTAATGGTGGGCTCACACACTATCACTTTTTTTTTTAATTTTCAAATTTCTGTTCAATATTAAATAATGTTTCGTCTTGACATCGGTACAATATTGATTGGTACATGGTTTGTTGGAGTTTACCTAATGTCTGCTTAATATCTATTATAATATTGGTTCGGAACAATATTAACCTTATAGTAAACACACGACAGTAATACCTATTGTAAAATATTTTATAAGCATTAGATTTATGATTTCCTGAATAAATAAAAAAATGTAGCAAATAAGTTATATATAATAATTTAAATATTCATGTAAATTATCATGCCACAACCATATATATTGTATTATCATTTATATAACGAGAAGTCAATTTTTTTATTTAAAGGGGTAGAAAGATAGGAATTGACGTATAATTTTTGCGTTATATTGTTTTATTTTGAAATCGCTCCGTTTTATAGGTATATTGTCATATTACAACATTACAGCCAACAGTAAATTCATACGTACAATGCTATTTATTTAATATTTACAGAAATAGTAAAATGGAACACATAATATTATATTTGTATTACAAATTAATAATTATATTAAAATATAGGTACAACATAGGTAGGTTTACAAACTATTATATTATTTATATTCAAAATAAAATCCGTATAACACAAGACAACACATACATTTTTAGACAAAAATATAATTTAGATTACAAATTTACGTAGGTAGGTATATTATTTGATTATATGAATATTACTTGATGATTGTCGATAAAATTAATTCTGCCTATTATAATTACACATATGTATATATAAATGCATAAATGTATAATGAGTGTACGTGTATACATTTATAATAATATATAACATTTTAGTTTTATACTTTTATCATTCATCACGATTCGCTAAATATAACGAAATTAATATTTATAACGTTTTCGACGTGATATCTTCGTATATAATAAAGGTATGTTTATTCGTATAATATGTATTTGCATCATAATCATAATCATTGTATGGGAATATAATATGGGATATTGCAGGGACTAATATATTACATAGACGTAAACGTTTTGGCCTTATCACCAACGAGTGATACATATTTTTACAATGTTAAAAACAAATATTTTTTGCGTGTATTGTACAACATTTTTGTCAGTAACATTCTGTCCGTCCAATATCTGTAGGAGGGTACTCACGACGAGATGAGTTTACTGGAATTTGAAGATGACTCACTCGTAAAACATTATAGTAAGTACAAGCGCATATTATATTATATTTTAATATATATATAGGTATATACAATATATCCATGTGGCTCGGTGCAAATAGGGCTAATGTAATTTTTGAGTTAACTTTAAAAAAAAGTCTTATCCGTACTTGTTTTGAAGTGCGGTCAGGTATTGATATTATTTTGAAGAACGTCACTGTGTTTGTTTTCCGAAATAACTATTTTGACATTGGCCTCTTATATTGGCGTCCTCACACCAAACCACAGAAGCTGAGACACTGAGAGTATCCTACAATACATGTGCACTGTGATTGAGTGTGTGACATTAGTATAAATTAAATGTATTATTATAATTGTTACACATTTTCACATGACGTAAGTTAAGTAGACACACAGTATTATATTTACGATAATGTTGTAGTGATAAAATAAAAATAATGAAAGCTATATAATTGTCTAGTTATATTAAACAAAACTATATGGTATAATTAAATGAATAAAAAATTGTTAAAAAAATCGAGACGCGATTATGGTGGATGAACATGAAACTAAACATTTTGTGATTTATGCTGATGTGGGACATTTCACTCCCACAATTAATAATTTCAAACTTCTAAGTTGGTCAGATTTTCATCTATATTTGATCTCACAATCGTCCTGACATACAACTGGATTTATTATATTATAGGTCCGTAGTATCATAATAATAATTATTATTACTTTAGTAAGTATACCTATATGTTTTAAGCCTATCTCGGAAATTGTCATTTTAAATCCTAAATTCTATTAGCATTTAATAATAATATTACATAACACGTAATTTCGTATGTACCTAATACACAATATTTCTCCTGTTTAACTCCTTCTCTATCTATCCTATTTCTTGTCATATAAAACTTACAAATGAGAAACCCGCTTTGATTTTTTTTAGTGTTCAAACTATAACCATAGTCTAGAAGACTAGAATTATAGTTGAACAATTTAATTTCAGCATAGTTTTAATATTATAACCTATATACCTATTATAATGAGAGTTGTTCGGAACCAATTGGTGGTAAATAATGCGTGTTGCCTAAAAACTATATAGCCGGGAACCAATTCGGTAATAGGGAATACACAAGCTCGTATAGGCGTCCGCACACATAATAATAATATGAGGTGCCTATATTATATCATCCACGTATGGGGCAGGGGTGGCTACAGAGACATGGTTGGGGGGAAGTCATAATTTTCAGAAAATGTCGATGTTTTATTTATTTTTTTTTTTAACAGTATAAAACTGTTTAGAATTACAGCTTGGAGGGGGTTGGCAAGGCCCCTAGAGCCGCCCCTGTTATGGGGTGAAAAAAAATTCACAATAATATTATACTATACGTCACGACGTGATGTACCACGCTTAAAACTGGCGAAGGAGGCTCAAGGCCAATATAGAAATAATATTGAGTATAGAGTATATAATACATTGCACATTATATAACTACTCAATAATAATATAATATAATATACATCATAATAATAATAATAATATAATAATATTACATATAGGTAATAATAATCGTATTATTATCAAGCGGCGATGAATCATCGTCTCTGCGTGCGGCGGCGGCGGCGACGACGCGAGGGGTTCGTCGAACGGGTGCAGTCAAGGTGGATTAATCCACATCGAACAAGCATAATAGTATTATATATAGGTACGCGCGTGCCCGACGATCGATGATGATAATGTATAATAATACTGTATGAGCACAGTATAACACTGCAGCGGGTACGCGCGTGTATAATATGAGTCACCGGGACGAGTCGGCGTGCGGCGAAGGGAATCTGTCCAGTTCCTTTCGTATGGCCTCGATGAGTGGCACGGCGGGGTCTTGGGGGGACAGGTTGGCGTCCGAGCTGATGAACTCGGCGCGCACGGCCGGCCGGTGGAATGGGCCCGCGCTCAACGGCCGCGGCACAAACACCGACTGGTCCGAACCGGCCCACGCCTCGCCCGGCGATAGCGCCCAGCACGGGCTGGCCGCCACTGGTGCTCGAGATTGGTCGTCGTCCGCGGCCCGGCCATTCGAGTCTGCCGACGTCTTTGGCCGGCCGGTCGGGCGGCCGCTGGAAGTGGCGGAACACCTGCAGTATATAACGTCATAGTCATTATACGGTCATATTCATATATTATATTATTTTATACATTAAACTCGTATTATTTTTATTTTATTATATACCGCGACGTGATTCACTCCGATTGTGGTCACCTGCATACCACATGTTTTTGTACCTTTAATGATGGATTTATTCAAATTCTGATTTTTGGATTTTATAAGTAAATATAGTGTATACCTAGTACTGAAGGACCATAAACTCCAAAAACACCTGGATTTTATTTTTATACCATATCAAGTTGTATCCCGTCGTGGAGATATAAAATTACTTTTTTACGAATAAAACGCCCATATTTTCTGGAAAACCGTAAATTAACACTGTATGTCATTATAAGCAAATATCTTTTTCGAAAATGTTAATGCATTTAAATTGGAATTCGGACTTGTAGATTTTAAGTTATTTCACTTTGAGTGTTAATGATAATGGGTTTTTAAAATATATGGGGGCTATAATGATTTGAAAATGATAATCAATTAAAAATAATCTAATTAGATTAAACCATCAACATTTTTTTATTTATAAAAGTTATCCGAGTATAATAAATCCTAGATTAATAGTAGGTATATCGTGTGGCAAGGGCGGGAAGTGAGATATTTTAGTCAAGGGGGCCGCAGGTGAGGGCCGCATTTCGCCCAAGACTGAAATTGCTTTCCCGCACGAGCCATAATACTATTTTTTGTAACGCCTCTGTGTTCATTGATCATGCCATCACTCAAAGGTAATACAGGCTGGGTCTATGCAACAATAAGACTATTTACGAAAAAAATATTTCATGAAAGAAACAATTTGGTTTTATTTATTTCTATATATTCTAAAAAAAATAATTTAGGGTAGGACACTACTTAAATGGTATAGAAATTTTGATGATTGAAAATATGGTTGTTAAGTATATAATTAAAAATGTAAAATTATAATTTGGATAAGTTCCCTATTAGAGGAAACGATTGAGATGAGCATGCTTGGTGAATCATTGATCAGTGTTCACCCTGCATTTAAATTTTATATCATTAATATCTACGTGACTACGTCATACACTCATACCTATACCTATTATCTATTATTATATTTATCTGTTTTACAAACATCATATTTTAATATTTATATTTTGTGTGCATCATAATATTATTATTAGGTATAAACTGGGTAACTAATTTTAACAAAAAACATTAATTTATTTTGAAAATATAAATTTTTTATTTAAAATAACTTTTTGACAGGTACCTACTGTTTAGGACCATATAAAGTGTATCACTACCATTTTGTACAATTACTAATATAAACAAGAAATAATTTCTGAAATTTTATCAGGCATCAGTGGAGGGGTCTTTAGTCTCCATACCTCACCCCCTTGCGTATCTGCCCCTGAATGCAACCCCTTCAAATAGGTATTTCCTTATTCGTTTCTTACATAGTGTTTACATTTACCTAATATACCTCACCTAAACGGAGCTGATTTTGATCTTTGTTCATGGTTACTTATTGACGGGGTACTTTCATCGCTGTTCATACTTGAGTTTCGACTGCCGAACAAAGTGAATGCATCGTCAAGTAATTCGTGAAATTTTTGTCTCATTTTTGTGACGTTAGTGTCCATGGCGTTGAAAGCGTCAAAGCTCGAACATGAATCGTCATCCTGATCGTCTGCAATTTATTGTTTTAAAATGTGTATGCATGATACATTTTGTTTTTCGTTGAAACTCACTACTTTTTATTTTCATTTGTTTGCAGTGCAAATCCCAAACTATAGGTCCAACCACTCCAGGATCTTGACCACTAATACTTTCGTGTCTTGTCACTGTACGTGTATTTTTATTTTCACTTCCATTAAGTCCGTCCAGTACGTCTGTTAACGGTCCAGGTATCGAATCTCTACAAAATATAATATACGTACAAATTGAGAAATATATTAACACTTCTCAAATGTAATTAAAAATGAGTACAATATTATTCAAATGGATACACCTAGTCTGGATTTTTTTTTATGATTAGTTAATATGTAGCCATGTAGGTATACACATATAGTTATATTTTATTGAAACAATATAATATAAAGTAATGGTTTTTATTGCTGCTATCAAAAACCCTTTTTATGATACCCGCAGCTGTTGCATATAAATTAATTTCTGTATGATTGTATTAAATTATTTAATTAAATTGAATAATAAATAGTTGCTGAGCAACTGTCTGGTACAAAATTATAACGACGTACGTGTAACTTAAGTCGTATCATGCAATTATGCCGTATAACGTATATTATGTATATAAAAAAGAAATTAAAATATCTCAAAGAAATAACTATTTAATTAATTTTTGTTTGAGTATTTTTTCTTGTTGAGAGTGTTTTACACATACAATTATGGTCTATCGTCTATGAATCTATGACTTTATTGATTATTTTATAACTTTTAATTATTTTATTTTGAGTGTCAATACTCGATGGGTCATATATAAAACTGAGTATAACACGGTTTCAACTTAGACATAATTTATTTTATAAAAAATAAATAAATGCATTATATAATAATATTATAATATTTAATAAGTACCTTAAGCTGCTAAGTACACTATTTACGATATATTATGTATTAATACAACTGGAATGTTAATTTTTGGTGCATCTCGTTTTCTGATGATAAATGAACAAAAATATTAAATCTACACTAGTCTCGCAAGACATCATAAAAATTTAAATGTTACAATAATACTTTTTCTGACAGGTACCCTTGCCTACTTAAATTCTACTGAAGTATTGTCTATTTTATAGAATATAAATACAAATTACAAGCTTACTGCAACCTTCAGTTACTTAACCAAGTTGTAATCCGGATGTTGAACCCTAGGGGTAGGATACCAGGGGTGGTCAAATTACGAATCGCGTCGTAGACTCAAGCGGCTCGCGTCTTATTGTAAGACACAAAACATTTTTTATAACATAGTAATATAGGTAGAAGATAATATGAAGACAAAATTATCCCATACAAAATTTAATTTGACATTTTAGTACATTTTTATATTGTTTGACCTTCTACACATTTTATCGCATTTTACATCTCATCATATTTAAGATAATTCGATATTGAGAACCTTTTTTTCCTGGTCTTAGATATTACATATTATTCCCTTATTAAAAAATTGTCATTATATATTGTGCGGCTCATGACTCTCTTATAGCTATATGCCGTGATGGACACTGGACGCCTATACTTTGGTTATAGTGTGTAACTTAATAATTAATTGAAAATGTATTAGCTATTAGCATATGCTCTTATTTTTAAGACCACGACTAAATAGGTGCTTGATATTTTAATGATTTGTACAGTTTTACAACTTTTTTATGATACGTCCGAGAGTATATAGAAACCGTCTAAATTGTAATAACAGTGGTAATGGTCCAATATAATAATTATTAATATGTGAATATATGATCTCTTTAAACCGATTATCATACCCGTATATTGTGTAGCATAATTTATGATGTTCATTAAATTATAATTTAAGAAATTAAATCGACCAGATGAACTCAATGCCTACAAACGATTCGTAGTTGGACAGATAATAAGGCTATCATATTAGCAGAATTATATCTACAAATGATTATCTACGTTTGTATAATATGAATGCTATGCGTAGCTTATAATAAATCAAATTTAAGAACTGTGGTGATAAAAAAACGAAATAGTGTAACTGTAACATAAGTAAATGTAGCATCATTTTTATTAGAAATAAAACTTCATAAATAATGGTGGCATTCCATTCACCCAAACAAAGAAGCAATATATTCTAAATTCTTACTCATAATGTTATAAATATCTTAAACAGAGTTGAAAGAAATACTAGTATATTAATTTAATGTATTTTTTATACTACAGTTTAATGACAAATTCAAAAATTAAATTGATACAAATAACTGAAATACCTGTACTACATTATTGTTCGATAAATTGCTACAATAAATGCTTTAGTGTATAAAATATAAATGCATTAGTAATTATATAGTATATTACTAATGTAATTCTAATCATATTTTAATATTGAAAATTAGTATCTATCATAATATAATAATTTTGGATTTACTTGTTATAACTTATAAATATTAAATAAAAATAAATAACTCAAGTTGTTGTTTAACACAGTTCCTAACTGAATTATAATGGCAAGATTTTTATAGTTGGATACTAACTTTAAGATTTTAATTTTTTAAAAATGCTAGCTCTTACAGATATTCTAATATTCTAATATAAATTATAAATTCGAAATATTGTGTGTAAACTGGTAAATAACTGAGAATGGGTATACGGATATCCGGATAAATGATAATATAGATTATAATCGGATTATTATAGTTTCACATAAAATATCCGGAATTCTAAAGCCATATTATATATAGTGTTAATTATTTTTAAAATAACACATAATAATATTATTTATTTTAAAAACAAATAATATATTTTATTAAAATTTGACATAGGTACACATTCTTAAATAAATTAAATAAATTAAATATTTATTAATTATTTAATTTAGACTTAAATGGATACAATTGCTTATAATATAATATGATAGTTTAACTTAGGAGACCATATTTAAAAAAATATGTTTGATGACGATTGAGTCAGTTCATATTTTACCACAATAAAATAATTAATATAACTATCCGTGAAATTATACACAGTTAGACTAATGGCCCTTAGTTCTTACTAGCATAATTAGTATAAGTACATATCTATATATTTTGTGAACTAATTTTATGTAAGAAATAAGAATAATAGTAATAATATTACCTACTACTTCTGTTCTATATGAAAATTATTTTATAATTATTTATTTAAATTGTAGCTGTTTTTCCGTTCAGTAAATGCATATCAACAAGTACGATTTAAACATAAAATGTAAGTTTTATATTTTTAAATAAAGCTATTAATAATTTAATTTACTACACTAAAACAGTAAAACAAACTTAGTTCTGAATGACTTTGTTTTTATATAGGAGCTACGTGTACCTAGTTAAAACTTTTATTCGTTCCTAATTATTTTATAAAAGAACATGATCGTGCGATAATGTTGCGTGAAGTTATTAATTTGTGTGTGATCGTATTTGTTGTAAGTATTGTAATGTTTCTTTTTATGCGGTATAATTCTATGGGCAATGATTATTCATAATAAAAAAACCACTCATGAAATAAAACAATAAATTATCATCTGTTGTTATTAAATTATTATACTGTGTAATCCGTCCATATTATAACGGTTGATCATATTAGTATAATATTATACTCCTGAGATGATTCACCCCGGGATACCAGGATTGTATCTATCATGCAACCTACCTAACCGTTTAGTTTTTTTGTTTATCATGTTAGTTTCATCTCAATGGCTACTTATTTCTCACTAAAATAAAACGCCCCAGGAATTTTTTTACTTCAAGATAAAATCGCTCAACCCGTCTTTAAGGTGTTCGTCAAGTTTTAAATTATTGGATTTTCCTAATGAATAAACATTTTCATGATAATATATACAAATTACACACATTTTATACCTCCTAGATTTTTTTTCCATTTTGTTTCGTTTCGTTTTTTTTTTTTTTTTTTTATAGAACTTGTACACAAGAAAATATGTCATTCTTTGTATTATTTTTATTTATGTATATTATTTTTATTATTTTTTTTTTCAGTGTAGAAACATTGTTTTATTCCATACTAAATTGACTTACTAACTTTTGAAATTTATTAACTGCTTGCATCGAAAGCAATGAATTTGAAATTTTATTTCTATTTCTCGGCTTTGGTTCAGGCGTGTGGAGAGCACCGATATCTTCAGTAGACGTAGCCTCTGTTTTTACCTGAAAAATAGTGAATGTTTCTTAACTGCGCTGTCGGCTTAAAGTATTTAGCAGTACATCGAAAAAAATATAAATACATCGTTGTGAGGAGTTTGATCTTCGCAAAACGCCATGTTAGTCCTGTCAGAGCTAATGCTATTTTTTCTTCTTTTTTTCTTATGCGCCACGACAACTCCAGTAACGAGTACCAGTATAACTATACATGTGGCGGTGATGAAAATCCAAATCTCGCCATAACTTACACCACGAACTCTTTGAAACTGTAATCCATCTAGGTAAGCTATGTACGAGAAAAGCGAGTTCTTACAACTAATAAATTATATTACCTATGTATTTAGGTACTAATGTTTTACTCACGACGGGCTTTGATTTTTACAGCGTATCCCAAATGATCTGCAACTTCCCGTGTCGTGACAAGGCTCATGTCACGTACTGCTGTTGCAGCAGACACAGGATGGTCGTTTACGCTGACAAAATAAACCAAATCCAATTTGTTCAGTACGGATAGAACGTCTACTTTGACTTTAATTGGTTTTTCGTTTGTATCCCATCTTCGATTCCGATCTGAGTTTACTTCATCCTCGGTCCAATTCGAGTTTAGCCCGAGATGCCGAGCCTGTTGTCTGATGGATAAACAACATTATAGTGATTAGTAAATAGTATTTATATAGTAGGCACCTACATTACGTATACATCGGACTTAATCGCCTGTGATTCTATGGACAACTAATTCGGATGTACGTATTTGAAGTATACGATATTATTTTATTGATCAAACGTTTGCTTCGTAACAATGCATTATCGAAACTTCATTTCATATCTGGTGTCAATCGGCAATCAGCCACTATGACTTAAAATTAAATCATTTTTTTTTTTAATATGTATTGGGTAATAGTAACTGCACTGTACCTATTATTTATATAATTTTATATACAATTTTTATAGATCACAAAATATTTTAATACTTTATATAGGTAATAATAATTATTGTATTCAGCTATTTTTTTTATACACATAGTTACGATCATTATGGAATATTATGTCGAATACCTCATGCTGTAACGCCATTGAATAAACAAATAAAGATTTATTTCAAAAATATGTTGTACAAATAAAAACATAATAATATTGTCTTGACAAATAAGATGGCTAGATAATAGTATACGTATATAATATCAAATATATATATTTTTCGAGGTAAAAAACTTAATTTGGTTTAAAAATAATACCATATACATAGTATTACAATAGTATTACAATCTCATGCAACCTCGACTAAAAAAAAAATAATTGTATTGCTTTTGATATGAATAACGGGTTGTTCAATCAAAGTTAATAACTAGTTTTTGAATAATCCATTATTACACTAGCTTATAATTTATTATTTTAACTATTTTGAATTTTAAGTGCATTTATTTATTGTTGTACATAGGTAGGTACCTTCATTACGCATAGTATTCCTATTGCAGCATAGGTACACGCCCGGACGCATAAAAACGGATGCTGTACGTACAACTTTCATATATTTTAGTATGTTTTATGTTAAAAAAGTATGTGCGTATTAGATAATTTAAATATGACGTAGAATACCTAGTAAAAGCAATCGTGTAGAGGATGGCCAATTTTTCTTTTATGACTGGTATGGAAATATGAACATCTGCTGGTGAGTCGAAATTTAACTCTGTTACTATCCAATATTCTTTGTTTGGTATTTCGGCAGTTTGTGGAATGTCAATAACCCCGAGATGTGGCGTAATAGACGTCGTAGGTTGAATGTTACAATCTTGCCCGCCTATACAGTCCTCGGGATTTTCCTAAAATAATGTTACATTTCATTAATTTATGTTTTTATTCCATTACGACAATCATCATAAACATAAATCAATTAATTTACTGAATAAGATGGCATTTTTTTAGTGGTGGTTGTTTGTGTCGGTTCATTCGAACCATCTCCGGAACCGGACCATAAAAATATTTTCAAATTTGTATAGTTGTGCATGGAGTCTATTAGATTATCTGAAAAATAACAAGTAAGTACCTAGTGTAATATTACTACGAACATTAATATTATGCTTCATCTTTTAACATCAAAGTATAGTAAAAAAAAAATAGACAATCGTTGAAATCGTTATATTACATCGAGGCACTTTTGTTTATTTGAAATAAAGTATAAAATAATTGTAATTATCTAAAACTCTAATAAAGTAATATGCAATATATCATACGGTAATTATATACCAATTTATCCTTTTTCTCTATGTGATATTAATACATATACAGTATACACTAATATTGTTTAATTCGGTGAATTTATATAAATAATATATTTGTTTTGTTTCGACCGTTATTAATAAATTGGTGACACAAAATAGATTACTAAAATATTTGCTCACCTTCTTCTTGTTCGACACTCTGTAAATTGCAGCTAGATAACATTATTATGCACACCAAACATAACCACCTTATATCCATGTATACATTCCAAGACAATTGTTTGCATTTGGACAGGCAGTTCCATCAACCTCCATTATGTATTGTCCAGGATTGAGTTTTTTGCTGGAAACGTTCGGTTTGATTGACATTTCATCCATTTATACATAGTAAAAATGAAACATGTATACCAGTATACGCGCGTGCGCATGTGTGTGCAATGCGTGAAGTAGAGTATCCATGGGCAACACACCCAAATAATAATAATTAATGTGCATATAGGAAATAGACTTCCGCACGACTGTAGTTTAGTCGCTAGACAGTATGTTCTGTACACATAAACGTAATAAATGAAAACCGTATAGATCAGCGGTCATTAAAAATATTACGTTATAATATATACAGGGTGATTCACTAAGCACGGGCGCCCCCATTTTCTCCTTTAATAGATAATTAATACAATAACATTTTTGGTAAATTGCAAGCATATAATAAGGAACATATATCTTCAAACACTTAGAAAAATCATCTGTTTAAAGATTTACAGTAGGTATAAAAATGATAATATCTCATTAGAAATAAAGAAGTTTCATCGCCACAGTACACTCCTTAACTGGAATAAAAATTTATGTAATTTCAAATATGGTCTTTAAATGTATACTTAACAATCTAAAAAATCAGAATTTGAATAATCTCTATATTAAACGGAAAAATTGCCAGACATATCAGTGGTAAATATTTATACAGGAATGACTTTAGTGGGTGTCATATAAGTTGTTTACAAACTAAAATACTAAAAACAATTAAGTTAATTAAGACCTATCCAACTATCCAAGTATTTTATATAAATACATATTATAATAACATAATATTAAAAAAAAACATTTTAATGTATTTTATAATAATTACGAAACTAATAACAAGGTTCTACAATAAATTCTTACAAGCTGGTCATTAGATAAAAAAAAAGACAAATAATAATATTTATCACATTTACAAACATTTTGATCACACAGTTTTGGTAAATCTATTTTTTAAACAGAATACAATTATCTTTCAAGTTAGGTATATTAAAAACGATTTGGTGAGATAATTGACATAAAAATATAAAAACGTGATTGCTTCTCTTTTTATAGTTTTAAAAAAAAAAAATTAAAACACAAGACAAATGTATTCCTTCTCAATAGAAAAATGTACACATTTTTCTACTATACCTACGAATTCATCAACAAATTTCGTTCTATATAATATAACTTGAAAAACTATTGTGCACAATAGCATGCTATTAAAAGTTTTTTTGGTGTGAGTGAAAAATGCTGTCGATCAGGGACTGCGTAACGTTTTCTTGGACACGTATTTCGAAAAACCTTTATTCTTTACGAGATAGAGAATGCTTACTGTTAAAACAATCAACATTTTAATATACATTGGCGAACGGTGATAAATGATCCATTTAAATATCAACAAATCCGTGTTTATTATAATAGAGAAGGAATTGGCATAAATAGTTTAATGTTTTTTTATTATCTTCCTATTGAAACCCAGTATTTACCAGGTATACCAATCAGTTGAATAAACATGCTTTACAAATATTCAATACACACAAACAAAACCGCATAGAGGGTCCAGTTTATGGGATATGGTTTCAATCTTACAAGTATCTTTTCGGACCTATTTAAATAAAATAATAATATGATCTCTGTATTTTTGAAAACATCGTTACCGGTACATTCGAAATGAGACTCAACAAAAATAAAACTTTGAAATTCTCCTATAATTATATCCTGCCTTTTATAATGGCGATATTAAATTATTATAAATAGACAAATACTGAACTATGAATTAAAAATAAAAGCAAAAGACAACATTTGTGAAAGACCATCTAAACATTTTAAACTAATACATATTGAGTTTGCTACTGATATTGATACTTTGACAACTACTGATTTAAATTTACTTAGAAAAATATTCATTATGGCAGGTCTTCATTATTAGCAATTATTTGTTATTATTGTTATTTTATTAATTTACTATTTTATCGGAACAGTTATATAGTCAACACCTATAGATAGGGGGCTCAATTGTTATAGTCAGTTTTTTTCCTGGGACTGAATTAGTATGGTTTTTCAGTTTTGGGATTCAATTCGTATGCAGCAGTCGTTACCTCACATATTATATTATACTGTATACATTTAATTTCTGCCCTATTTAGTATCGACCGCTGTTCAGTGGGTCATTTGATAAAATTCAAATTCACGTACAGATAATGATTTGTCGTTTATTACCTCTGATAACGAATTAACTCGAATTCTGTTTTTTGGAATTTTTAAATATACCTACTCGAGGACCATATTATTTTCAAATGCTTCGATTTATTTACACCATTTATAAAGTAAGAACAGATCGAAAGAACATCTATTAACGAAAAATTATGGAGAAAACGTGTACGAGGACCTTGGATATTCGGTTTGTGTTGGTGACATGACAAATTTGTTTTTATCGTTGATAAATGTGGCAGTGACAGTAGGCTCTTCCTATATTATCAAAACAGAGGTTGAGACAGGTTCCACAATTCATAGTGCCCATCAAAAATCATACAACTAATTAAATTGTCATAAAAAATATGATTGGAAAAATGTATATTACCTATGTAAATATTATTATACAATATACATTCGTGAATTTAGGACTTATGCGAGTTAAAATTTAAAAGTGTTAAATGCATTTTCTATGAATTAAAACTTGAATATATAGGTATATAATAATAATTTAAATAAATATTAGTTAAGATTAAATTTTTATAAAAACTTGTTATCCTGCCGGTCAAAGTTTAAGAGGAATAACGGACGTTTATTTCGTATAACACCACACAATATTACCTATCGAGTTTTAATACGAAATTATCGATATCGATGATTTGTATTACAATATGGTATTGAGTTTAAATAGGTTAATATATATTGGACTATCTTTTTTTTCGTGGACACGAGTGGTATGCTGCCCTGCTAACATTTTCGTGTATCTCATTATGAATCGACTTAATATTTTGTATTCGCTAAACACATGCATATAAGTATTAAGTACATAGTGATAGTATATGTTTTACCATGCGATACCGTACACATTATCTGACTATCAAATTATTAAGCCTTGTGGTAGGTACCTATACTAATAGTTGATAAACTTTGTATGTTTAAAAGGTCATATACATGAGTGCTCTATCATACTTTATTCGGATAACTGATACGATGTGTCTGATTAGGTTGAATTTTAATGTTAAAGGTTTGCCGTTTAGTAGGTACAGTATACGTTATAAGTACCGTTATAGGTACTACAATTATTCATTATATTCTTAAACTATTATTTTTTTTTTTTTGTTATATTTATTATACAAAACTCTATTGTAGGACGTTATTATATTCTTCTATATTATTATCATATATGAGATTAATAATGATGCCAATAGATGTACTAAAAAAAAAAGTTAATTAATATATATTAACTAAATAATATAACGTATGTCTTATATACAAATGTGCTGTCAAAAGTATATAATATAATGTTTTATAGGTGAACAAACAAAATAAGGATAACGTATTTAAATTTTAAACTATCTGATTGTGTGTGTATAAAAAAATTTGCAAATCTATTTAATTAATTATAAACATTTTAAATTAATCATAACTACATTAAAAAATAATTATCCATACGATTTTACCTTTACCTTTAATTTATATTTATTTTATTATGTTACAATTATTAAATCCAAAAGCGTAGTAATTGCTTAAACATTTTTGAATACAACTAACAAGGTTAGGGTATATACTAACCTAACCGTCATACCATCCCGCCCTTGTATCACCTTTATCATCTAGGTATCCTAATCTCCTTTTAAATAGTAGAAGTTAACAGAAAAGTAAAAAAAAAAACATTAAATTAATTATCTAAAATCTATATCCATTTTAATAAATCTCTCCCCTTATGAAATAAACTACCTCAAATGATTCATAGCTTTAGAAGTCAGAAACAAAAAATGACTAAGGTATAATACTGTACAATAAATGTTATCTCTAATAATATATTAATATTAAGTATATTATGTTTCTCTTATTTGGATCAATTAAATTTCAAAAGTAAATTTGTTTACAATAACATTCAGTTAACGCAATGTAATACCTAGTATTATAATTTATAATACTAAATATGGTAAATCAACATTTAAAAAATTTCTTTTCATTGTTACCTATCACACTTAGAATTTCTATAATTTATAATAAAAAGTCAAAAATTATAAAAATATTTATTGTTCAAGAAATCCTAATACAAGATAATAAACAAAGTTATTAAGTACCACCTATACTTTTTTATGTCTTTTTTAGATTAAAAGCATTTGGCATTCCTATTACAATTATTGCAATAAAGTAATACTCATAAAGTCACGCGATGTCAAAACCGTGCCTGCCTTTTCAATAAATGTTTTCTATGATACTAGTATATATTTTCGAAAACATAAAGCAATAAAATCGAAATCAATATTTCTAAAGTACATTATCCTGTCAAACGTTTGTTGACGGTGGCCTATTTTTTATTAGTCAGAGAAAAATAATAAACAGATTTAAAATAGTATTATTTCGAAGTAGGTAATGTTTGAGATAAATGACTTTTTATTGAAACAATATTATACGCTGCACAAATAACTAAATAACAACATAAGTATAGTTTATCGTTTTTAATTCAATCGACACCAAGATAAAATAATTCTTGATAATATTTATTTTTATAATGAACCCAGTAGCGGACTGGCCCGGTGTGCCACTATTCTATAGCACAGTGGGCCGGTACCAAATTGTAAGTGTTGGGCCGCTACTATTTCTAGCAAATATGTATAACTATAATTGTTGTATTTAAATTTGTTTTTTTGTTATTTTATAATAATATATTGGACGATTGGGCTGCTATTGCCCATCACAAACTACACAATATAGACACTAGTACACTACCTACCATATAAAAGATAACAAAAACATAATATATAGATATAC